TTCATTATACCTATTCGATTTATGCAGGTCGCTATTGTCTATTGGACGAAGCGGCTATCCTCTGTCCCTTTTGTCTCCTACCAGTCACTGCCTATTGTGTATTAGTCTTCGTCCAGTCCCACTTCATGTCCCTGTTTGGTTATCCTCTGTCCCTTTGTCTCCTACCGGCTACTGCCCGGTCTCACGTATTCCAACCTCAATTCCTGTATTTTCCTGCTATTTGCTATGTATTCCCCATTCTTTCAGCATCATTTCGTTTTTTTTCCTATTTTTGCAACCCACTGAAGTGTCCCACGCTATTCCGCCCCCCCCACCTCCCCCCTCCCCCTATCCATCTTTAGCTGATGGCCCTACCTATGGTGCTCACTATCCTCCTCTCTCTGTCTATCTCGTATCTCGGCTCCTTGTCTAACTATGGTAGATCCTTCTTCTTGACAGCGGGTTAGAGAGGTTGTTGCTCATGCATTGGCCTGCTCGTTCTGGGGTGGCGGTCTCCTCGGTATCCGGCGGAATCCGGCGGAATTGAATGTTGCATGTTTGGGCATGTCGGCAGATCAGCCTCGGGTAAGGTTCCCATCGCTGCCAAAATCGCTGTTTCCCTCCACCCGTATATTTGCAGCATCGGCGCAGATCACACATGAACGCTGTCTTTTGCAGGTTTTCCAGCCTGTTCCTTTCGCTCCGTGCCGTCCGGATCGTCCACAGGATTTTGCTTGGACTCTCTCTCCAGCCAAGAGCCGTTCTTGGTCTGGTTGGCCTGCCTTCATCGCTGGTCCCAGCAGGATCATGGTCACCTCATCCTCCTTCACTGGGAGGGGGGAGCCATCTGCCATTTTGGTTGCCCACCACTCCCAGAATGCGTGGCCCGCCACTCCCAGAATGCGTGTACAGCCGGGCAGTGTACAAAAAAAAAGATGCGGTATCGATTCCACGGCTCCACAGCCTGCGGTGCGACTTGTCTCCTTGTATTGGCTCTTAGGTGCCTGCCACTCCGCAGTGGGCACAGCGAGGTGGGCAATCTGCCACAGCAGAGCTGCGTGCTTTTTGATCCGGCATAGCGGCCCATGATGGACATTGTTTCCCCCATCGCCTTCTGGTCCATCGGTCTAGCTGTGCTGCCAGTAGCCCGTCCCGTTTTGCCCATCTGGTGCCCAGCTCTTCCTCGATGTCCTCGATGTATAGGAGGGATCTATAAATCTGTTTCGTTGTCACCGACTGGAGATCCAGCTTCTTCGCAAGTGATTTTGTGCAGGCCGCTTCTATCCCAGGGGATCACAGACCAGTTCTCTCCTCTCCTCCTTTCTGACAATTGGAAGGGGAGGAGTTGGTCTCTGTCTTTTTGCACTCCTTCACACACCACCACCATTTCCACCATTCCTTGCGCCAATATCTGTTGAGGTCCACTCTCCTCCAGCGGCAACCCCAGTCTGTGCCGTCCACTTTGGACCCTCCATTGCGTGGTGTCCACCTGGTCTACCCCAACGTCTTCCACCCTATAGACCGTGTCCTCGGAACCTCCTCCCCTTTTAGTCTCACCCATTCTCTCTCCCTAGGTCAAGTTGTCCTTTTTAACAGGTCCCACCCATTGGGTGGGAATGGATTCTTTGAGGCCCTGCAGCCTTTGGAACCGGTGCACCTGGTCTGGTAGGAGCCGGGCCAGTTCAGCATCCTACTATCGGTCTTCCAATCGCACGTCTGCTCATTCCAGAGGTGACCGATCTTATAGACTCCGTGCCCTGCCCACTTTTTTTTTTTCCAAATGCGCCTGCTTGGCCCTGCTACAGGAAGGAGTCACCTCTCATGTCGCATATGAAGCGGTTGTCGAACAAGACCTGGTTGTATACCGCATTGGCTGTCACCGGTTCTCGGTTCTGCAACTGGATTTTGCGCCAAATCCCCGTTGGGGTGGGCCAGACCGTGTCACGTCGCACATGCGCAATCAGACCGGTACTCTGGGGTGGACCAGACCGTGTCGTGTCGCACGTGCGCAATCAGACCGGTACTCAGGATGGCTATCTCCACCCTTCGGATGGGAAGTCTGTGAATGTGCCAGATGCGAGCGTGTTAGTAGGCACCACTGTTCCCCTGCAGCCCCTAGGAGG